AGGACCACTGCAGTGTGATGAGGGGTTTCTCCTGAGGGACCTGACGGCATGGGGGTGCCCAGTGTGGGCAAAGAGCATGGGATCTGGGCCTGGGGGGGCCGGGTCTAGTCTCCTTGCTGTCACCAACATCCTGTTGCCCTTGGCCTCTCCTAGTCGGGGTTGGGACTAGGGTGCGGGAAGTGGGGCTCCCAAGGCACAAAATGTCAGGAGGTGCGGGCCCCACTCTAGCCCTGGCCCTGCCCTTGGCCTCTATTCCTTATCCCAATCACAGGAGGTCACACTGCGGACACTGAGGTCCTTCCAGGTCCAGGCTATACCAATGTCACTTAATTTCCGAAGCTGGCAAGTGACATGAATGGGAGCGAGGCCTTCCCAACAGCGCTCACTGGTTCTCTGCGGGCGGTTCGGCCGGTACCAGTGATCTGCCCGAGGCCGACCACTCGCTGGGAGGTGAGACGCTTCCCGGGTGCCTCCCTGACCTCTCGGGGTTGGCGTCTTGGCGCCGCATCTACGGGGCTTCTGCTGGCTGTATGTAGTCAGGAGAAAATGTCTGCAAACCTTTTTTCTTCTCCTACAGCACTACTGAAAAAATGAACTACCTCATTAATTAGATGTTCTCATTTTCGTTCTCATACTCTTACTGGCTTCTCCTCCACTAAACGTTTTTCTGACCGGGGATGGCACGCGGGGCAGGGAGGAGCCCGGTATCATCGGTGAATTGTCTGCCCACCAGCACTCCAGCTGGCGGGGACCAGGAACGCCGGGCCCGGAGCACCACCACCGCCACCACCAGCACCACGGACTCCTGACCGGACGGGGCTGGGGACGCGGCCCTGGCACACTCCACCGCGGACGAGCGCGCCGCACTTGGACAAACCTCGGGTGTGAACCGCCACGGCCGTGGGACCCGTGGGAGCGAAAGGGCGATGATCTGGGTAACAGGAGGGCGTGTGACCCACAGTAGACGAGGTCCTTCAGTTAAGAAACCGGAGCGCCACACCGGAAGTTCGGCCTGTATTTTGGGCAGGGCTGCACAGTGGAACCCCCACCTCGCTGAGTGCCAGAGTCAACTGGTGACATTCAGAAATGAGAATGAATCACCTCCGGGACTAGAGTGTGAGTCAGTGACAAAGAGGGATTGCTTTCTGTCCCTTGTGAGTTTGATTGATGTCCAACTCCGTGGGGACCCCTAAATGGGTGAAGGGAAGGACAAAGCCCCGGGCTTGTGGGAGGTGCTGACGTCCTCCGTGGCGGGACCCGGAGTCACTGGTAGCCTGCCTAGGCCAGCTCTCGGGGCCAGTTCACGCCGCCCCGGGGTGTGCGGCGGCCAGGCTTCCGGGGAGCCGCCTGCGCGAGAGCCTTGGCGGCACGGCTCGGGAGGGCGGCCTGGAAGGGCGGGTGATCACGCGGGCTCTGCTGCCTGCTCGTCAAGCAGTTACTCGGCTGATATGACGTGGGTTACTCCTCTGTACAACCAGGGCGACGAGAAGAGCAGTTTCACGGCCAGATTGTGGGGGCGCAAAGGGATCGCATAGGTAAAAGCACTGGCTACAGGGTCGGGACAGGCTGCTGCCCAGATGCTAGTTATTTCCACTGCATTGGGATTCCTCCCCGGGGCGGCCGGGGGGCCTCGGGAGATTCGCCTTACTCTGCTTTTCTCGTTCACCCATCCCTGGCTGCGGGAGAAGAGAAAGCGGAGACTCCCTCCTTCGTCTACCACCCGAGGTGCAGGATGCGCCTCACGGGGCACAGGCCAGAAACGGGGTCGATGGGGGGCAGATTCCAGTCTTTTCCAACCATTTCCTGTCTCCTCTCCCCCACTGCCAGCGAGCGGTTCCTACTAACTCACCTCCCAAGTTCTCCTTCAACGGAGCCAGCAAAACTGACCTCAGTCGTGATGGAAAGAGGTTTAAAGGTGTTTCCACCCACAGAAAAGATGAAATCACAGGGCGATCCCACGTGAAACATTTCCACCACCACGGCTGGCCCTTGAACAGCGTGGGTTTGAACTGCGCAGGTCCAGTTACATACTAAATGCCTGGACTGTTTTCTTCCCAAGGTCGGGAGTCCGCGGTTGCGAAGGGCCAACTCTATACCCTTGACCTACACGATGTTATACCGGGGACTCGAGCATCTGAGGATTGGGGTACCTGTGGGGGTCCCTGGAACCAATCCCCTGTGGATGCTGACGGACAATTGAAGTCTTGGGGGAGTCAAATGTTACACGCAGATTTCTGACTGTGCGGGGGCAGCACCCCAACACCCGCGTTGTTCAAGGGCCCACAAGTGTTCCTTAAGTCAATTTTGAGAGAGTTGCCGTGAGGTCATCATGAGTCCTTCCTGACTCTGTCCTTCATGCTGCATAACATCAGAGAGAAGAGATCCCCGAAATACTGTGTTTTATCTCCTTAACTTGCAGCCTTTGAAAGCTTCAGATGCTTAAAGATGACCTTTCTAGGGAAAGGGCGTTGAACTCCTCTCTCTCCCTCGGAAGCTCTCTGAAGAATTTGTTAAGTTAACATACGATGCCCTCACTTAGTTCCTATTTATTTTATTGTCAAGATTTTTTACGGAGCCTACGTTGTGGTTACAGAGAAGTATTATAAAATGTCGATGTGCAGATGAGATTTGCAAGGTCTGAGGTGGGAGGGGAGCTTCTTTAAATGGAGACGTCAGTTCTGGCCGATTTCAGAATGGCTCACCATTAAGATGGATGGTTCCAGAGCTCTGTGCCTCTGCTGGAAATTAAGAACCCATGGAATAACTGATTATGATTAATTTTAAGTACTTAGCCATGTGAGGCCAAACGAGCGTGCCTCTGAAACAAAGCTATTGATCTGGCTTTGTTTGGAAGCGAGAAGATAAACTAATCAGATCCTGGAGGCTCTCTGCGATGATGGAGAGCGGAAACTCTTTTTTTCCATCACAGATTTGTGGGTCTCAAGTTTGAGAGGCCGAGGGCACCTGGAGACCAACTTCTCTGAGGAGTCCGGTGCTGCCCAGGACAGGGCTTTAACGGGGGTGGGGGCGCGGGTGAGAGACCCTGGGGGAAGTGGGACAGACCCCATGTGGAGAGCCGCTCTTACGAAATACATAAGGCACTGCTTCTAGATGTTAAGGAAACAGACTCTGAGAGGTTGAGTAGTTTGGGCAAAGTCCCACGGCACCCGGGATCCCACACCCCGGTGCGTCTGACTGCAAAGCCCTTCCCTGTCCCCGGACAGCCTTCCTGGGGAGGCAAGACACCGCCAGGCCTAGGGGAGAGAGCTAAGGTGCAGGCTGTCGGGTCCTCCCAGCGGCTCTGTGGCAGCTGGTGACTTCCCTTTCCTGGTTTCTTCCCAAGGAATTCTCTCACCCTTCCCGAGAAGAGGGTGGTAATCTCCTCGCAGCCCTTCCCACAAAGGCCTTTTCTGCAGGCTGGGAAAATCGTGCCTGCCCCTCTCAGCTCCAGCCTCTTGACTAGGGAAGTGCTAGGTCAGTAAATCGGGGCTGGCGTCCCCTCCCCAGCCAACGTGCGTTTGTTGCCGGTTCCAGGGTCGGAGTTTGGGTGGGGAGAGACCATCCATCTTAGGAATGACAGCCTAACCTCCCCGGCTGTGGGTCCGGCCTTTGCTGTGCCGGGAATCCTCGGCCTTCATCAGATTTCCGGCAGCTTGCAGCATCAGCATCCCCGTTCGCGTCCCGTGATTCCTCTCGGAATCACCTTTCTCTCGTGCAACGTGGGGAGGACCTCTCCAGCCCAGGGCTGCTACTGTCTGCGGGGGGCCTGGGGGGAAGGAAGGTGAAAGGAAGCCCTTCCACTCCTTCTCTGATGTGCAAAGGGACACTCATTTATTTGTTTGACATTCGCTCATTCTCCTGGAAGTCGGAGACGTGCGACCTGGTGACTCTGTGGGTTTTTTATGTTCAGGGGGGCGCTCCACAAATCCCACACCTGTCACTCACTGGATGGAACTGTACCAGCAGAATCACTTTCAGAGCCAAGCAATTACAGCCCTGGGAAAGGAGGAGTTACCCCCAAGACAGGGCAGCCAACCCCTTCGTTTTCCAAACGAGAAAACTTCAGCTCCCAGCGCGGAAGGGACTTGCCCAAGGTCACGCAGCTAATTAGGAGCTGAGTCAGGACTGAACCCGGCATCTCCTGGCGCAAGGGCTGCCCCGCTGACTGCCCTCCTCTCCAGCTTCCCTACCCCGTCGGGGGCAGCTAGAAGTGTGGCTTGGGGTGAGACCAATCCAAATGTTTTCTTACACAATTCAACTTTAGTTTGAAGGACCCCAAGATGACTCCTGGCTGACTTCCCCCCTGGAAGTCGGGTGTCCTTAGCTAGACCCGTTCGAAAACCCCGCGCATGGAGAAGCAGCCCCCGGAGGGGGTGTACCGAGTGGGATCCTGGGGAGGGGTCCACTTCCCTTCATCCTGCCCCACCCCCAGCGCTTGGAGGTTACTGCTTAAAGTTGGGATTGAAGCCTGAGGTGTGAGCCAGGAGCGACGCAGTGGCCGGGCTTCACCTGGCTGTCTGGCACCCCCCAGGCCGGTGCCAAGGTCCCTTTCTGACTCTGGGTGATTCCCCACTGACCCCTGGGGCTGCTACCCTCTCTGGTCTCCCAGACCGGAACCCTGCCTCCTGCACGCCCACAGGCAGACAGACGCCCCTGAATGCGCAGGCAGGTGCTGGGGGGCTACTCCGGTCCCTCCGTTTTGCCCAGCAACAAACGCTGTGGGAGCGCCGGCGGTAGGGGGGGAGAGAGGGCTCAACTGAGACTTAATTAGCAGAAGCCCCAGTTCGCGGGAGGTGAGAAACCACACTTTGCTGCCTGCAAACACTTTGGCCAAGGTGAGTGCGCCGGAGGCGCCCCCCGGTCCCCAGTTTCCACAGCACTGCCGCAGCAGACCCAGAAACGCACCCGCACGGAACCCCCTGCACACGCACTCCCCCTCTCGCCGGCTCGCGCGGGCGCGCACACACGCTCGCCAGGCAGCGACCGCAAAATCAACTCACAGGATCTCCAGGTCGCGCAGCGCGCGGAAGGCTCCATCTTCAATGCAGCTGATGTGGTTGTTGTCCAGTTGCCTGTGGAAAAGCAAGGGGAGAGCGGTGAAGGCGGAGCGGGGGCAGCGCCGCGGAGCGGGCGGCCGGCCGGCCGGGCGGGCGGGCGTCCCCGGCCGCCGGAGCGCCGGTCCCTCCACCCCTCGCGGGCTCTGCTCGTCCCCGCCAGGAGCTCCCGCAGAGCCAGCCTCTCTGCCACGCGGCTCCGTCTCTGCTCTCTGACTGTCTGAGAGAACTACACAGACGAGCGCACCAACGCTGTCAGGTCTCAGTAAATATTAATTGCGCATTTTTTTTTTTTTAGGCAGAAGGGAGTAATTTCATTACATTAGGGCATCCAATCCATTACGAGCTCTTACCGTCATGTCACTGAAACAATTTCATTAAGCTAAAGGCCTGTAAATCATTGGAGGTCACTGCGCTGCCCTCCGAGACCTCCCAGCATGCTTTCTTCCCTTTCCCCCGCGCCGGGCTCCCTTTACTGGAAGTTGCAGTCTTCTGACACAGAGCTAAATCTCAAGGCTTGATCTGCCCAAGAGCGGCGAGGGTGCATGGGGAATATACCAATTCCAAATTAGACTCAACTAATCTAATTTTATAGTCTTTTTATTATTCTAAGCACCAAATGTCTGTGGTGGTTTGATGCCTCTGTGCTTTGCTAGGGGGCCCATCTGGCAGGTCATTCTACTGAAGCTTTTTCTGGCTAAATACAGATCCCCTCAAACTGCACCAACCACCATCAACGTTAAAGAAATCCATTGATGGAAGCGTTCCTGATTGGGGGTTGGGGGGGGAAGGAATATCATTATTGCCTTAAAGATGTACCACTTACATCTAAATTGGGGAGAATTAGAGGCACCTATTTCAGAACTCCGTTTTTATTTCCCTTTCCATCTTCTGAGCGTGAAAATAACATCTTTTAGGGAGATGCCTTGCCTGGTGCACAGTCTAGTTGGGGACAGAGGCATTTTAGTTGAGCGATAACAAATAGATGCTGTTATCTCCACATCAAAATACATCTGGTGTGTAAGTCGGGATGTTTACCAGGACCGCATTCCAACCTAAATGTCGTGCATTATATATGACTCATTCGATTTCTAAAAAAGATGTTACATGGAAAACGGGTATGATTTTGCATTTTGTGCGCAGAACACACAGCATGGTCTTTGGCGGGTGGGGGGCGGCTGGCCGAAAGAAGCGGCTATACCAAAAAACGTCCTCCTAGACTCTTTTTTCCTTTCCTTTGTCTCAGGAAAAAAAAAATCAGCCCCTTTCAGGTGAAGAGACCTCCTGGTGCTGGAATTTTCATTTGTAACTTGCGCTCATCTGTCCCAGGACCACTCTCTGCAAAGCAGGTGTCAGAGCGACACTGGGCAACCCTCATGGAGCGTTTCGTAGTCTGCTAACGGCAGAACTGAAATGAAAGTGCGGCTATCACTGAGAGGTGTGTGGACACAGGGTTGTGCAAAAGGACAGGAGGGAGGTGTGTGCAGTGAGAGTGATCAGTGCCTCGCACAGACGGGCTCTGCTGCGGTGTTAGGGGGCGTGGGATCGTCCCCACAGATGCTCACGGCACAAGATACTAGACATTTAGAATGGGAAAATAAACGGGAAATGGGTATCTCGGGAAGCAGAAGCACTGTGGGTTCACGAGTTCTGTGTGCAGAGTTCCCAGCGCCTGCAGATACGTCCTCGCATGCAGTCTCCGAGTTCCCCCATCTCGGATTCTCCTGCAGCCTCTCCTACCGTGTTTACTGGGTGTCCTTTCCACAGGTTTCCCGTGAGCGTGGGGCCGCCGATTCCCAGCAGAGGTCCTGGGGAGGGAGCCTGGTCCTGCTGGCCCGCTTCTAGACTTGTCATCGGTTTAAGGACCGAGGCATCAACAACCCCTGCCCCACGCCACGGCCACCAAACCTTGCCAAGCAGAAATCAGTGGAGCCGGCTTTTGGCTCCAAGAAATTGTTCCATGAACATGCTGAATTCGGCAAAAATGGCACCACCCTCTTAAGTAGAAAAGTCTCTAAATCATCGCATTGGGAAGTCCAGGGTAGTGTTTGAGGTGGGGGTTTGTGAGTCTACTTTTGTGCAGACATTTTAAAGAGGTCCCTGCCATTTAGAATATTATTTACTTGATGGATATGTGAAGAGTTTTCTATTATTTCTCTTTTCGAGAGCACTAGAAACCAAATGGGATACTCCAAATGTATAGAGTTTTACATGGAAAGAATTCAATCTGCAGGGGAGAAGAGAAACTCACAGAAAGAAGAGAACGGAAATGAAGGGGTAGGAAGAGATTATAAAAGGTGCGGGGAAAAGATAAAAAAATCCACTGCTCAGTGTCCCATCGGGGTCCTGCAGCCCAGGACGCTGCAGTGTGGGGGCTGAAGGGTCTCAGCGAGGCCCCGGCCATGGCAGGGCCAGGGCGGGGTGTCTAGTGCATCGTCAGTCACGCGATGTTTAAATATTTTCAGTGGGTGGCACGAGTTGACACCTAGTTGTTTATTTGCAACAGGAAACCTGAGCTTTAATATAAGCATCTCTGTGGGTGCATTTTATAGACCAATTTAGAACGTACAAAGTATATCCAAACGTAAAATATTTACGTGTAAGCGCGCTTTTCTGGGAGACAGTAATTTATTATAGCCAAGAGGGTCTCCCTTCCTTTTCACTGCAGACAAACAGCTCCCGGCCGCAGACGGCACCGTCATTCCCAAGATGCACCGAGCGTTAGGTGAGTCTTCAGGGCACGGGGCCTAGGAGGGTCCCGTCGGGCAGACAGAAACCCAGTTACTCCACTTCCCAGCGGGTGTATGAACTCGGGGCACTAAGCATCTGAGGATTCGTAAAAGCTCATCAGCTGCCTGCCATCAATCCTGGTATTTCCCGCAAATACAGCTAACATATTTTTCAGACTATAAGACCCCCGGCCCCCAATTTGGGAGAAAAGGGGGGTGCATCTTAGAGTCTGAATGCAGCTTTACATTTACATTGGTGAAATATTATTTATGTTATTAAATATTTTACCACATGTTTTGCTTCAAACATTGTTTTTCCTGTTTTCCTCCTCTAAAACCTAGGTGCGTCTCACGGTCTGAAGAATACGGTAGGTCCCTAAAACAAAGCAAATTCACACTTGCTTCAGACAGGTGTTCTTTTCTTTCTCAAGTGAGTACATCTCGGGCACACAGAACTGGGTCCTGCAGCTCGGGACGGGGAGGAGGAGTAAAGGCAGGGCCAGCGTTTCTGTGCGGACGCTGGGAGCGGAGCGCTGCTGAGCACACAGAACCTTCTGGAGCGGAGGCCAGGGCGTGTGACGCAGCAGTGTGTGTCTAGGGGTGACAGGGGCCGCTGCCGTGAGCTCTAAGCTCCGGGTCAAAGGTCTGCATCGTGCCCTTTCAAAGATCCTCTCCCAAACCAACCAGAACAGCCCCCAGCCACTTCACCGTTGCTCAGGGGGCCGGCTCAAGGGGACTTGGGAAATGGGCACAGGGGCCGTCTTAGGAGGCCTGACAGCACTCTCTCTCCGTTTCCCCTCGGCAATGAGAAGTGCATTCCCCACAGTTCCTGACTCCTTTCTTCTCAACGCAAAAAATAGCCCACACCAGTGCCTAGCGTGGTGCTGGGGACGGCACAGCTGGTCCCCGGTGGCTGCGGAGTGAGTCCTTCCATTAGAAGCGTGGCGGGGCTGGGTCCAAACCACATGGCAGAAAGCTCTGAGCCAGGAGCCACGTTCACGGCTGCGACCCCATGGCCCTCCGACCACAAATACACAATGACCCAGTGTTCCCCGTACGACCACGTGGGGTGCTGTCTTTCTGCCCTGACCACAGGCCGCTGCTGCGGAGCATCTGGGGAGGGCTCTCGGAATAAAGTAAGATTTCCAGGGGCTCAGGGTGAAGCTGAAGAGCAGGAAGGCCGTGGGTGGGGGGCAGGCTGGCTATTTTTTGGAGGTAACTTTTATTGTCCTCGGCTTTATACAGAATTCTCAATTTGATTTACACTCTCCTGTCTGTGAATAAGCCCAGAAGCCCCAAAACGTTCTTGCTATTAAATTAACTGCTCTAATTTCCCCGGGCAGCTCGGATTTCAGCAAACAATGTGAGTGCTAAAATGATACCGGAGTCCATTTAGAAAGGAATCCTCAGACGAGAACTAAAGGCAGACTCCCTGAGAAGAGCTTCCCGGCTACTGTATCTTTGTACTCTGAGAATATAAACAAGTCGGAAAGAAAGCCAGCGTGAGCGAGGACTCAAAATAAACTCTACAAACAGCAGGCAGGGAGAGAGCGCTTTTGTCAGAATTCCCTGTTGTCCGCGTGCGGTTAGCACCGTTCATCTCTTCCAGCCACATTTCAAGTTTCGTAACTGAGGCAGGGTACACGTATTTTGTGGCATACACAAATTTGCAGTATACCTAAATCCTTATTTTTAAGATTTTATTTATTTATTTTTAGAGAAAGGGGAAAGGAGAGGGAAAGAGAGGGAGAGAAACACTGACGTGAGAGAGAAACACTGATCAGTTGCCTTTCAAATAGGCCCTGACCGAGGGCCGAACCCTGCAACCCAGGCATGTGCCCTGACTGGGAATCGAACTGGCCACCTTTTGCTTTGCGGGATGACGCCTGACTGAGCCATACCAGTCAGGGCTATAGCTAAACTCTTAAAGAAGAGCTTTAAAAAACCTGGTTACAGTATTAAGAGCATCTACCTATCTCGCAACCACCAGAAGAGAAGAAAGAAAGGAAGAAAAAAAGAAAGAAAATTCCATGATTTCAACGATGTATTTGAGGCCCCAGGAGAAACACCTTGAACACAGAAACCTCCAGACACAGGCTTTGGAGATCTGAAGGAAACGCAGAATTCCCAACTAGTTATTCACAGGCAAGCTCTACACACCGGGCACTGCCATCCAGATGTTCGCTTCTCGTCCAGATGCTTTGGGGCCCCCAGGCATCAGCCCAGGGAGGGTTAAACTCAGCCTCAGGGCGCTGGGGCTCTGGGCCCCAAATCTGGGGGCAGCGTTTC